TTTTTTGTCCACCCCCCCCTCAGTTTTTTTTAGTATGTCTGCCTTCTCATGGACCATGGCCATCTGTTCCTGAATCATAGCAATGTACTCCCCTAGCATGGCCATCTGCTCCTAAACCATGTTGCTTAATCCTATATCAGGGTTGCCATGATATACACATTGTATGTACATGTATCATGGTTAAGGCCAAATATACCAAATACCTCTTCACATGAATCATAATTGTCTAAGCATATACCATAGTTGTCTTAAGCTACATGGATACTTTATCATGTTTGCAGGCTCTTTGTTCAAGTGTCATAGTTTTCATTTTATGCACTACAGTAACTTGAAAATTTACCAAGTTTTTAATGAGAATTCTGGGTGTCTGCTTACCTCTACAGTCCTTATCTGCATTTGTTTGATGGTCATCTGATCATGTACCATGGATGTACATATGTGCATTTAATGCCAATATCTTCTAATGTGCTACATTTCTCTGCACATATACCTGGATTGGGGCCTGTTTTGTAGAAATTTGCTAACTTGCAAAGACTATCTGTTCTTGTGGCATGTACAATGTTATTAACCAATATCATCCCAATAAATTTAATTTTAAAATTTATCCCTGGCCGGTTTGGCTCAGCGGTTAGACCGTTGGCTCATGGACCAAAGAGTCACGATTCCAGCCAAGGGCACGTACCTCGGTTGCAGTTTGTCCCCAGGCCTGGCTGTGGTCAGGAGGCAGGCAACCAGTTGGTGTGGCTCTATCACACTGATGTATCTCTCTCTTTCTCTCTCTCCCTCCTTTCCACTGTATCTGAATATTAATGGAAAAAATATCCTCAGATGAGGATTAAAAAAAATTTAATCATGGTAAAACAATAACAAATATTAAATATTTAAGTGTACATTTTAGTAGTATTAAGTATATTCATATTGTTGTGCAACAGCCCAGGTGACATGCTTTTGATCATGTATGGTGTCTTAATGGAGTGAATACTAACCCCCTCTTCTCTTATTCAGTGACAATTATGCTCCTGTGCTATGGTTTTCTGATATTTAGCATGGTTAAATTGTTTTATACCATAGATGTTTCCACATGCATTATAATAATGATATTTGCTAACAAAATGCCATGGTTGTTGGAGGGCACATATTATGTCTAATGTCTTCTGTATATGATAGCAGTCTTCTAATGCATAATGATTATTAGAACATGTACCTTAGTCGTTAAGCTGATATAAAGTTCTTGTCTTTTTATGCATCATAGTATATATCATAGTTTCTCCTTCCAAATCATGGGTATTTGCTTCTGTTCATTAGCACCTATTCTCAGTGTGAAGGTTTGCTGCTTGTTTATCATGATTATTTGAACATAACCCATACTAGAATGGCATAGTTGAACATACACTAAGAGTCTCTTTGCTCATGCAGCATGGCCATCTTCTTCTATAGTCAGGATCGTTACTTATGCACTCATGTTTTCTGAGCAACCACCATGGTTTTCGTATATTCTGTGGATCATTTCTGTAATTTGGACTTTACGTCCTGTACTAAGTCTTTTTGTTTCTGTAAAATAATTTTCAATCATGTGTCATGATTAAGCATTGACCTTTGTCATGTGATCATACAACATTAGGATCTGATGGAGCAGTGTAGATGTTTGAGAATATATCATGGTTTCTGCCTATCCTATGCATGTTTCTCATGCTCCAGAGTTGTCTGCTAATGCATGTTATTTTCTTACTCATATGCCATGAGCTGTTCTGTTTCTGTTCATTTCTGTAAAACGATCATCAACTCTTGTATAACTTATGAGGCATGAATGTCACAGCACATATATTAGATTGACCATAAGAAGTTATTGTTTTATGGAGTAAAAATTGTTGCATATTGTTCTGTAATTTTATATGATAAATCCTAATACTATAACTACTTTTTTTCTATCTATAATGTGGACATTTACATATGTCAGAAGTCCATCTTCTCTAGTATCATAGTTTTCTATGGCTATACCAAATTGTGTTGGGGAGCCTGTAGCTGGTGTATTAAATTAAGAATATGCAGATTATATAACCTGCTGAATGAAGAGGCACAAGCTACCCACACAGGGTTTGCAAGAAAACTGCTTAACTGTATAAAGATGAGAATCAATCCTAAATATGCTACAAAGAGACTCCAGATCTTAATATTCTGGTATGTTCTACAATACTACCATTGACTATAGCAAGAACATTTGTGATAGTAAAAATCCGACAAAATTGATGTAAAATAAAATGAACACATGAGAGATTATTTAAAATTTTTGGATTATAAGAGATAATTAAGGTTGAGAGAAGTTCTGTGAGTCACCTAGTCATAGGAAGACAGGGAAAGAAATAAAACTGTAACCTAAGACTATGAATTATGGATTTAGAGATGGGCTCTAGTATATATATATCTTTTTTAGATTATTAATGTTTTATATAAATAAAAACACATTAACATAGTTGAAAATCAAAACAAAAATAAATGATATACAGTAAAAAAAATTTTTTTTTCTTATTCTTGTCATCCATCTTTCTCATTCACTGTCCCTCTAATACAGGAAACCACTGTTAATATTTTCTTGATTTCTTTCAGAGTTTCTTTATGTTTTTTTTTATTTTTTTAAAAATCTTCAACAATGTATTACATTGTTGAATGTATTACAGATGTTCATCATTTTCCCCCCATTGACCCCCTCCTCCTCACTCCCGCCCCCTTCCCGCCTTTTCCCACACTATTGTCTGTGTCCATTGGTTATGCATATAAGTTCTTTTGTTTACCCCCCCCCAACCCCTTTCCCTTTGAGGTTTGTCAGTCTCGCAATGAATTTGTACTTTTTAATCTCTTCACCTTTTCCACCCATTCCCCCAACTCCATTCCCATCTGGCAACCAACAAAATGTTCCCTGTATCTATGAGAATGTTTCTGTTCTGCCTGTTCATTTTGTTTGTAGATTCCATTGTTGATAGATATGTATTCATTGCCATTTTGTTTGTTCATATATTTTATCTTTTTCTTCAAAAAGACCCTTCATCATTTCATATAATAACGGTTTGGTGGTGATGAACTCCTTTAACTTTTTCTTGTCTGGGAAAGTCATTATATGTCCATCGATTCTAAATGACAGCTTTGCAGGATAGAGTAATCTTGGTTGTAGGTTCTTGCTTTTCATCACTCTGAATATTTCTTGCCACTCCCTTCTGGCCTGCAAAGTTTCTTTTGAGAAATCATCTGACACTCTTATGAGAACTCCCTTGTAGGTAATTAACTGCTTTTCTCTTGCTGCATTTAAGATGCTCTCTTTGTCTTGAACCTTTTGCATTTTGATGATGATGTGTCATGGTGTAGGCCTTTTGGGGTTCATCTTGTTTGGGATTCTCTGTGCTTCCTGGACCTATATGTCTGTTTTATTCACCAAGTTAGGAAAATTTTCTGCCATTATTGTTTCAAACAGGTTTTCAATTTCTTGTTCTCTCTCTTCTCTTCTGGCACCCCCAAGATGTGAATATTGGCATGCTTGAAGTTGTCCTAGAAGCTCCTTACACTATCCTCAGTTTTTTTTGGATTCTTTTTTCTTTTTGCTGTAATGATTGGGCGTTTTTTCTTCCTTATATTCCAAATCAATGGTTTGCTTCTTGGATTTACGTTACTCTACTATTGAATCTGTGTAAATCATTCTTTATTTCAGTTAATGCCTCCTTCATTTCTGACTGTGTATCCATCATTTCTGACTGGTTCTTTTTTATGCTCTTGAGGCCCTCACTAAGTTCACTGAGGTTCTTACTAAGTTCATTGAACATCCTTATAAGCAGTATTTTGAACTCAGCATCTGTTAGGTTGCTTATCTCCATTTTGCTTAGTTCTTTTCTTGGGGTTTTGTTCTGTTCTTTCATTTGGGACCTGTTTCTTTGTCTCCTCATTTTGGCTGCCTCCCTGTGTTTGTTTCTGTGTATTACTTAACAAGCGGTATGGGGCTATCTGAGACCAGATGCTGCTTGTTTGAAAGAATTTGGGAAAACCTGAAGCAGGATCCAAGACAGGCCAATCCTATGGTTAAGAAAGTGGCAACAGCTTGGGTGGGCCTGAAAGTTGGGTGGGGCGGAGCCTCAGGGAATCACCAGGGCGGGGCTACCAGTGTGAGCCAGGTTGCTGGAGTCCCAGATATGGCGACTGTCTGCCACCCCAGTGAAGGGCTCACCAAAGGAACAAAGGCCTCTGACATCACGTTTGTCCCGGAGAAAGCCCCCTCTCCAGCCCTCACTCCAGTGCCAAACAGCTCAGTTCCTTCCTGTATGTCTCTCGTACCCCTTGAACTGCCTCCCCTCCAAGCTTAGAGGGAGTGAATTCGAAGTCCGTGCACGGGCCCTTTAAGGAGCTGCCTGGGGCTCCATCTGAGTCCGCTTCCCTGAGCCTTGGTTCCCGCTGGTTTTTCCATCCCGATGTTATGGGGACTTCTCTTCTTGGCACTGGAACCCTGAGCAGGGTGCCTGGTGTGGGACGGGGACCCTCAGTCCTCAGGCAGGACCTTTCCAGCCAAGGTATCCTCCTGATTTGTATCCGGCACATGTGGGTGTGGGACCAGCCCTTCGTGTCTCCACCCCTCCTACCAGTCTCGATGTGGCTGCTGCTTTAATTTCGTAGTTGTAGGCCTTCCATTCAGCTTGATTTCAGGTGGTTTTGAATGATGGTTGTTCTGTAGTTTAGTTGTAACTTTGATGTGGTTGTGGGAGGATGCGATACTGCGTTTACCTATGCAGCCATCTTGACCAGAAGTCCTGGCTCTAGTATATTTAAAGAGGGGTAGATTGGAAGTGAATTTTCATGGCATTGATTAACTGGAGAAAGGGAATTGTCACATTAAGCATTTAGTAACTAGATACTAGGGAAGTTAAATGACTAATAGATTTAAATGAAATCTTTTCTGAAATTTCTTCTTTCTCCTTCCCCTTGTCTACTTCTTTCCCCTTCCTCTTTCCCTTAACATGAATCTCACAAGACTCTCCAAGTTGGTGCCTAAGAAGATGATAATCAGTCAAATGAATCACTTCTACCTGACCAGCCTTGGGTTCCTCTTCCTGATTAATATTCTCCCTGAAACAACTGGCCAAGGGGAATCAAGACGACAAGAACCTGGGGATTTTGTGAAGCAGGATATTGGCGGGTAAGATCCTTTAACTTCTAGAACAAAAGAATCCTATTATAAATTCTTGCCTTGTACCAAAAATTTTAATTTTTTTCCCTGATGAACTAAAGTATCCTAGTTTTGATGCTAGACATTGCATTGAATTAGTAAAAGCATAATCAGGTCAGACTCTCAAGGTAGAAAGAGATATATTGGGCAACGCCCTAGTCTGTGTTTGAATCCCCTCTAACTTCTTAAAAGCAATTCTGTCCAGTCACCTGCTCTCAATCTCTCTTAGATCTTCAATCTGTCCTTTTTATTGGCTTTGCCCTATTAACATTTAAATGCGATCAAGAAACTTCCATCTTATATTTAAAAACCTTTCCTCCAGATAATGCCTTAAATCTTTCTCCCTTTTTACAGTCATACTTCTTGAAGAAGTGGTTTTATTTTCTCTACCTATTTTTCACTCTGCTCTACTACTGTTGCTGTCTGACTTTCAACCCCATAACTTTAAGGCTACTTATGCAACCACTATGGCCAATGTTGATGCTGTTGCCAAAATGAACACTTGTCTGTTCTTATATAACTTAATTTCTTAAGTAACATGTAGCAGCATTCAGCATTATTGACTTTCCTCCCTCCTTAATTCTTTTTTTTATTATGAAATGAAACATATATGCATAAAATAAATGTAAGTTTAAACATAATTTTTCTTTGACTTCATAGACACCACAATGCCCTGGTTCTTCGATTAGGTTCTCTAGAAGCAGGGCCTGAGAAAAGGATTCTTAAGCAAATTATTTATTAAGAGAGTGCTCTCAGAGAAAGTTGTTTGGAAGTAAGAGAAGTGAGTTGGGAAAAGGAAGAAATAAAGCAAAGGAATGATTTTACTTAAAGTGTAGCTTCCATTTGACCTCATAGGGAGATACAGAACATAAATGGCACTACAGATTTAGGCCAGCTTAAGGCAATGGATTTGGGCTTTTGTAGCCTTCACCTCAATGAATCATTGCCTGAGGCCTGACTAGGGGAAGGTATAACCTCCTAGGCTCCCTTCAGCAGATGATAATACTCTGAATTAGTTGGGGGATGGTTTCACTGTCCCAGTGAAAGAGATCTGGACATAGTACCAACAGTAAATATTACACCTGGGTTTCTTTATACATTTTTTTTTAATCCTCACCAGAGGACATTTTTGCATTTATTTTCAGATACAGCAGGAGGGAGAGAGGGAGGAAGGGAGAGAGAGAGAAACATCAATGTGAGATACATCGAGTGGTTGCCACCCACACGACCCCAACTGGGGCCAGGGACAAACTGCACCCGAGGTATGTGCCCTTAGCGAGAACCGAACCCTGGACTCTCTGGTCAGCAGGCAGATGCTTTAACTGCTGAGCCAAACAGGCCAGGGCTCTTTATACTTTTATGTATACTTTCTACAATACTACACAGCTATATCAAAGCTTTTATGATATAAAGATCTTTTGTAATCTTTTTGGTAGTCTTGTCTTTCATTGTTCATTGCTCAGGTGATGTGAGATACATTGAGTGGTTGCCACCCACACGACCCCAACTGGGGCCAGGGACAAACTGCAACCGAGGTATGTTTTTTTATAAACTTAAATTGTTTTCTTTATTGATTATAGAGAGAGAAGAAGTGAGACAGATAGAGAGATAGAAACATCAATGATAAGAGAATATCAATTGGCTGCCTCCTGCATGCCCCTCACTGGGGATTGGGCCCACAACCTGGGCATGTGTCCTGACTGGGAATCAAACCGGTGACCTCTTGGTGCATAGATTGACACTCAACCACTGAGCCACACCAGCTGGACTGCTCAGGTGATTTTTGTTTGTTTTTTGTTTTTACGTTAAAATTTTTATTATAGACTCTATTTGATTTCATTCATCTTCATATCATTGTTACATTGTATATATGCCAGTGACTCTTATCTCAATTACCCTTCCTAACTTTTCTTGAGTGTCAGGCCTCTAAATCGAACTATATATTGGATATGTCCATTTGGCTGTTCCATAAACTGTTTGAACTAAGTATATACAAAGTAGTCTCATTATCTCCATCTCCCTCCTTCAACTCTAAAAACAAACAACAAGCAGATATAACATATTTCTCTTCCATTTTTCTATGTTTTAGTCAATGGAACCACCATGTATCTCATCACTCAAGCCAGAAACTTGAAATTGTTTTTGACAATTTTCTACCTTTCACCCTCCAGATTGAATCAATCACCAAGGTCTATCATTTCTACCTCCCAAATCCCTCGGATTCAGCTACATTTTCCAACTTTCCTGCTACAACTATAGTTTAATCTAATATTTTCTTCCACTTGGACAGCTTCATGAGTCTCTAATTGGATTTACTTCCTAAACTCTTGCTCCCATCCAAAGTAACCTTCACTCTGTAGCCATTGTTTCTCCCACAGTGCATGTAAAGTTATAGCTATCCTGATTAGAGTAATTTAATGGATTTTTGTTGTTCCTAGGTTAAAATATAAAATTCTTAATATGATTTTATAAGGCCCATTATGACCCATGCTCTACCTGTCTTGTCAGCCTTATTTCTTAGTCCTCCTGTCACCAAATTCTGTGTTCTTCAGAAATGCAATATAAAACATCCTGTGACTTCTTTTAAAAAATTCTTTGAACTTTAAAATCCCATTTTATTTTAGGAATATCATTACTAGAAATTATCCCCGTAGCCTTGAAATATTTTAGTATTATGCATTATATTTTATTCTTTCATAGTGACTTTTCTTTTGTTGTTTTAAATTTGTCTACTCTCCCATGTTCTTAGAAACACTAAAACATGTTGCTATTTATATTTGCATATATATTTGTGTGTGTATATCTATCTATCTATATCTATCTATATCTATCTATCTATCTATCTATCATCTATCATCTATCTATCTAGTCTTTCTATCTCTGGGCAGAGTGCTATAGAACTGCAATGATATGTCTTTAGATACTTGGCCCATTAGGCCCTTTTTGTTTTTTATGTCTGGAAAAACAGATTAATTCTGTTTTATTAACTTTTAATGTATCTGATTTTACTGGGCAATGATGGATGTTCTAAATAATATGGAAGTTCCCAATACACGAACCTTACCTCTTCAAGTATTTTTATTAAATTTATTTATTTATTTATTTGTTCATTTATTTACTGTTGAGAGTATTACAGATGTGCCAATTTTCTCCCATTGAAACCCTCATTCCCACTCTCACAGCCTTCCTGCTTTCCTAAATTTAATGTCTGTGTCCATTTGTTGTGCATATATGCATATAAGTTCTTTGGTTCTCTCTCCCCACCCCTCCCATCCTGATCCCTCTGAGGTTTATTAGTCTGTTCCCTCTTTCATGACTCTGCATCTAGTTTGGTCAACAACTTATTTTTTCAAGATATTCCATAAATAAGTGAGAACATGTGATACTTGTCTGTCTCTGACTGGCTTATTTCACTCAGCATAATACTCTCCAGGTCTCTCCATGTTGTCAAAAAGGATAAGAGATACTTCTTTCTTATAGCTGCATAGTTTTCCATTGTGTAAATGTACCACAGCTTTTTTACCCACTCATCTATTGTTGGACACTTGGGTCACTTGCAGATCTTAGGTATTGTAAATAGCACTGCTATGAATATAGGGCTGCATATATTCTTTCTGATTGGTGTTTCAGGCTTCTTAGGATATGTACCTAAAATTGGGATCACTGGGTCAGATGGCAATTCCATTTCTAATTTTTTCGGGAAGCACCAAATTGTTTTCCATAGTGGTTGCACCACTCTGAATTTCCACCAACATTGCACCAGTGTACCCTTTTCTCTGCATCCTCTCCAGCATGTGTTGTTTGAGGAATTATTGATGGCTGCCCTTCTGGCAGGTGTGAGGTGATAACTCATAGTTGTTTTAATTTGCATTTCTCAGATGATTAGAGATTTTGAGCATTTTTTTTTGTCTCCTGGCCATTTGTATATTCTAGAATTGTCTATTTAGGTCCTCTTCCCATTTTTTAAATTAGATTGTTTGACTTCCTTTTATTTAGTTGTATGAGGACTCTATATGTTTTAGATATTAACCACTTATCTGATATATAATTGCCAAATAGGTACTCCCAGAGAGGGTGTCCCTTTTAATTTTTTTTTTTTTTATCCTCACTCGAGGACATTTTTTCCATTTTTTGTTCAGACAGAGTGGGAGGGAGAGAGAGAGAGAGAAACATGGATGTGAAAGGGACACATCGAGTGGCTGCCACCTGCACGACCAACCAGGTCTGGGGACAAACTGCAACAGATGTATGTGCCCTTAGTGAGTACCAAACCTGGGTCTCTCTGGACCGCAGGCTGATGCTCTAACCGCTGAGCAAAACTGGCCAGGGCTCCCTTTCATTTTGATGCTTGTTTCTTTGGCCATGCAGAAGCTTCTTAGTTTGATGTAGTCCCAATCATAAATGAAAGGAGATAAGTAACAATTGACACCAGAGTAATACAAAGGATTGTTAGAAAATACTATAAACAATTATACGCTAACAAATCAGACACTAGGTGAAATGGACAAATTTCCAGAATCACGCTGTATCCCAAAATGGAACTGGGAAAAATGAGTAAATTTGAACAGACCAATAACAACTAAGGAAATTGAAGCTATAATTAATACACTCCCAGCAAACAAATGCCTGGGTGGATGGCTTCTTCAAATTTTACTGAACATTCAAAGAACAAATACCCATTATCCTCAAACTATTGCAAAAATCCAAGAGGTAGAAACAAACCCAGCTCTTTTTATAAGGCCAGAATTATCCTAATTCCAAAATCAGATAAAAACACTACAAAGAAAGAAAACCATAGACCAATAACCCCAATGAACGTAGATGCCAAAATCCTCAACAAAATATTAGTAAATCAGATCCAGCAATATATTAAAAAGATTATTCACCATGATTAAGTAGGATTCATTTCAGAGATTCAAGGCTGGGACAGTATTCACAAATCAATAAATGTGATACACCACATAAACAAA